CAGCCAGAGATGTGGTCATATGCAAGAATTCCGAAGGGGTTGAGGAGAGGACCTCCATCTATGTTGTTGACAGAGATCTTGGCAACGTGGCCTATTCATCTTGGATCAAGAGCGTGCTTGATCAGGGGACGATGTACGAGCTCCTGGGACAGACTACGAATGAGGAGTCTTTGGGGGACGTCGTCGAGATGATATTGGGATTCTTCGAGGTGATGTCATACTTTCAGCACGAACTTCCATTGTGGAGAGACGCATGGAAGATCAAGAGGGAGTTCGAGCATTCCATCGTGCAGCACCTCGCAGGGAACGTGAGCCACACGACGGGCGAGAACCGAAAGCGGAACAAGCCGTCCGCACAGCTCGGAGCGCCCACAAAGGAGGTAATGGACATCATGAACGCGGTCAAGCCCAGACATCCGCTATCCCTGGTGAACGAGCAGGCCAACCAAGGGTCCAAGAGAAAGGCAACTGAGAGTGAAGGCGATGGTCTTGGTCCAGAGCCAGACCAGAGCCGAAGCTCGCAGCCCAATGAGGAGAAAGAGGAGAAGAAGCAGCGTGTGATTGATGGGCGAAAAGCTGCACTCAAGTTCCTGGACTCAATGGAGAAGTGCATGGGAGAAATGGGAATTTGTGCAAAGTGCGCGAACCTGGCCCACGACGGCGACTGCAAGAATAATGAAGAGGCTGCTGGAGACGAGAAGGCGATGAAGAAGATCCGCGAGCTTCTCAGCAGCGATCACGTTTCCTCGGATGAAGAAATGGGGGATGCTGAAGAACCGTCATCATCGACATCCAAGGAACGCAAGAAAGGAGGACAGAAGGGGAAAGAAATAATAGAAATGTATAGCTATACCATCAACTTGGTGGAGATGGCTGACACGGCTGAAGGGGGAGAGCTACAATGCGGTTGCGTGGATCTCACCTACAATCCGTGCGGGGATCACAGGATGTTCAAGGCGGCGCTGGAGCGGGGATGCGACACTATTCCATGCTACATTCCTAAGTATGGCGACGTGAGCAGCATACATATGCCGTGGGCACATACGTCTATGGTAGATCCCGGGTACTTCCCCAAGGGTGCCGTTCTGGAGCAAGTCGATGTGATACAGCTTGGGAAAAGTATCAATTTCTGCATCGCTCCCTTCGACGGCGCTCCACACTGCAAGATCGGCGACGAACGCTCAGTATTTGCATCGAGAGATCAAGCAAATCAGCTATCTCATGATCTATGCAGAGTCCTTCGACACAAGATCGGCAATTGCCGAGGAAGTGCTTTCAGGTGCGATGAAGGTGGATGGGTTGACATTGACGCAATCATCAACGACCGGAATAACGACATATTTCCACCGACAACCTCGAAAGCAAATCATGGAAGTGATCAAGTGGCAGGAATCTGGACACAGGAAATCAAGATTCCAGGTCCTTGCAGCAAGGTTTCCAAGCATCATGAACCCGAACGACATGAAGGCCGCCAAGGAGGAGTTGAGCTACATTGGCCTGGATCGGGATGACATCGAAAGAGTATTCAACAGATGCGATGGATGGTTCACCTTGGTGCATCCACAGTGACTTTGGCTTCATGAGCTCATCCGCATTGGCAAATAGGTACTCTGCAAGGATGGGTGACACTCTCGGAGGAGCATTCCACGTGACATATGTGGAGAACCTGCCAAGCATCGTACGCTGTGGGCTAGTCCCTGGCGGAATCGATGGCGGAAACAGACTGGCATTGCACTTCGGGGCATTTGCTCCATGGGATGAGATGAACGTAGCAACAAAGACGACGCTACGAAACTTGAGGACTGGAGATCCACTTGCGATCATCTACATTCCCAGTGCGACCCTCGCGCGATATGGAGCTGCAGTCGCGTTCAACGGGACATTCATGGTCTTTGACGTGATCCCGTTCTATGAGGTCAAATCCATTTGGATTGGCAAGAGCAATGGAGGGAAATGCCTGGAGTACGAGAGCACCAAGCGGGCGTACTCAAAATGTGTGGAAAACGAGATCTGCCCGGGATTCGTTGGTTCTTCCCAGGAGTCGGCCACGATGTTCCTTCGGAACGTCGCAAAGGTCATCGCGGGAATGCCTGAAACAGAGGCGGGTGCCGACAATCTGCACTACGTTCAGGGCATGGTGGATCGTGCCTGCGAACTGTTTCGGGAAAACAAATTAGAAGAGTTTGAGACTCTGACCAACGAGATCAGGGACGAGATCAGCAAGACCATCATCCTGAACGACGAGACATGGGAGGGGCTACGATGCCGAATTTGTCCGTCATGTGCAACCGCGATTCCAACGTGCTTCTGTGTGTGTCTGGAATGTGGAGCGCAATTGATCTCTACTGGGAGATTCTGCATCCACATTGGTTCCGATGATGAAGGGGACGATCACAAACCCAATGTGTCAGGTGACGCCAGACGAGCGCAAGAAGAGGCCAATGACAACGCGGCGGAGCAGGAAGAGGGTGATGAGACGGAAAATGATCCCGAAGCCGACGACATGGATACGGAGGGATACACATCTGGTTACATGTCCGAGGAAGAAGACGGTGGTTGGGAGTACCGCGACAATGATATGGCATCACGGGATATTATCAATTCCCAGCGGATGGCGATCTGCATGGATGAGCCACGGGAGGCTCAATACATGGCGGCATTCATCGCACTGCAGATGTCAAAGATGTGGGGGATGTTCGAAGGTGGCGAAAAGAGAACGATCGATGCCGCTCTCGAAGGGAAGCATGCCTGCCCATACCACAACGACTTCGGGAAGTACCCCAACATGACAGAGATTGATCAGGAAGGGGTCCTTTTGCCATCGACGGTACTGAAGATTTCCCAATCTCAGAGCGTTCGAGAGAGGGCCTTCCGGTCGGCTGAGGAGCGCAACGAATATATCCGTTATTTGGTGTGCAAATGCGAGGGGCTATACATATTCTACAAGCTGTGGATTGCAGCGAAGATCCTCGGCATCACCAAAGACGAGATGAAGCTCCTGGTCAAGGATCGCATACACCCGGTGGGTGATATTGTTTACAGATGCTTCTCCCTGGCTTTCAACTGCAAATATATATCATTCGTAAGGGAAGGATTGAACCTTGGCAGATATGGTCATTCGGTCAACGTGAGCGCCATTATTGCGGCCACTGACTGGAACAAATGCGACGCACCCCTGCTAGATTGGTGTCTCCGAAAGGGACATTGGCTACCAGAGGACCACCACAAGAAATGCGTCAGGGCGCGAGAAGCCCAGAAGAATTTGGACGAAGAGTTCGGCGCACCAATAGGCTGTCCATTGGGGACAGATACGCGTGATGCAGGTGTGGACAATCACTGTTTTGCGGCATGGTGCATTCATCGGCAGCAATACATGAAATTCACTCCGATGTTGATAGCAGCATGATGTGGGCTAGTCCCCATCCATCGCTTGCGTCACATCAATTCAGCTATGATGGGATGTGTATTTACATATTCCAACGGCCATGACATTCCGGATATTCATGGATGTGCACTATTACCTCATGGATGATTTCTTTTCCTTATATTATTCGTGGTATCTGGAATGGCTATGTTTGCATATGTTGCTCGCCAAATCTTCTTTGCCAATGGTATTCAGATGGCATATGACCGTGCGCTGCTATGGATTTCTATGGCCAACCCATTTCTGTGGATGACGGCTGCGCGATGCGCAAATGCGGCAGCCGGGATTTCAAGTGGTTGCGTATTGGCTCGAGGCGAAACGTCTCTTGCATCTGAGTATAGGAATGTGCTACGATTTGCGGATGCATGTTTCTGTCTTGATCGGACCCGGCAAGTTTCACAATGAATGGACGGTGTAGCAATAGTGAATGAAAGAGTGTTCGACACAGTTTCGTAGTCGGAGCCGTGGCCATTGGAACGTGTTGTGATGTTTGGACCGCATGATGAACAAAGCGACCCAAATGGGGGATGTTAAAACCCTCCTGGCCCCGTGCCTAAATTGGGAAGCTGTTCTGAGGTCCATGTTGGTGTTGATTACCTGGTTCCATTGATTGCCAAATTTGGCTCAAGTCACAAGTAGGGCTCAAGGTCTTGCATGAACTACGTTTGTACGTGATCGACCATAGAGAGTGGAAAATACTTCATTCGCGCTGCAGCTGCCAGGATCACCATCGTGGTTATTGGTTCTTATCCCTTACAACAGTTTACACGGGTTCGGCTATAACGGTTTGACCGTATACACATTTCTACGTGGTTGGGTACAAAGCTGGAGGGTTCGGTGGACAGCGTCCCACGGGACGTCACCTTGCCGTCTCTTGACATCTAAGCTGCTGGCTGGAAATCATTGTGCCTTACAGATGGATTTGCAGCCACGGGCAGATGGCCAACTGGTCCTTTGTGGGAAGTTGATCACATGAGGTCGGTTTCCGACTGCCCTCATGTCTAGGCGAGCCCAACCTGGCCGACGTCCTTGCCATGGCCGCGGCGTGGCCGCCGGGCGCGTCCAGCGCAGCGCCGCAGCCCGGAAAACCATCCTCCTCGCATCTCCGGTGAGTGAGGGGCAACCGGAGGCGCAAACGCCGGCGCAACGTGCATGTGCGCCGGGGGCAAGGCGGTCCCAGGGCCCGTGGGCAACGCAGCCCCCGGCCTGGGGACCAGACTCGGGTCGGAGACAAGCACGGTCGCTGGGCCGCTGGCCGGCAACAGTTTGGTCTCGGGGTGTCGAGTGAGAGATGCAAACAGTTGCCAGCCAGCTGCATCGGCCGGAGGGGCGGCATTGGCCAACAGGTCAGGCCATGACGGGCGCTCCGACCAAGCAAGGAGTCGGGCCGACTGGGAGCGCGGCGCCGTGCGGAACAAGCGCTGAGCGCGGGGCGCCAGCCACGCCGGTTGCAAGTCGGGCAGCTGAGGAAGCCCGGCGAAGCTTTTACTCAAACGGTTGTACACCGCCTGGGACACGGCATCGAGCACTTCCCTTGCTCCTTCTTGCGTCCTGCCAAGCGGTGAGACACGTACTTATGGCGGAGTCCCGGGCACCAGGACACAGGCACAGTTGGGGGGTGGCGTGATGCCTGCAAAACTTGGTCCTCAACGGCAGCAGTCGCTTGTTGCCCGTGACAAAAAGGCCGTCAGGAAAGAAACATGGCAAGCGTTGAATTTGAAACCACATGGCACACAAGGAGCCGCACAACAACCCGTCCTGTCAAGGTAAGGCACAATGATTTCCAGCCAGCAGCTTAGACAGGCTTTGTCACTTGCAACTTTGTGGGAAGCTGGACACGCCGGACAAGGCCACCTACCACCAAGCAAGGTGGAAGCAAGAGCGCGCTGAAGCGCGACGCTAAGCAGCGCCCACCAGCGCCGACGTGCGCCTTGTCGCTCTACCTCCCGCTGGTCTTGCAGGCGAGGAGCTCGGGGTACCTGGCCTCCTTGCGCCTATGCGCGGTGGCGATCGCAGCTCCGTCCTCATCTGCGGTCCGTGCCTGGCAGCGACCGTCGCGCCGAAGCGGCGAAACGAGGGTGGCGTCACAGCACAAAGCTCTTCCCATGCGCGTGGCGCCATACAACACAAGGTCGAGGCGACGTCGATCGCCCTCAGCAACACCCGGCGCGGAGGTGTTCGCAAGCATTGCTGCGGGACCACCCGGCCTTCAGGCCCCAGGCCCTCGCGCGCGACCCGCGCCCAAGCCTGCTCCAGCAAGGGGGCGCGGCGTGTGAGGAAGCCGCTGCGTGGGCGACGTCCTCTTCGTGTGGCTAAGCGCCTCAGCGCACCTCAGCGTGTCGCCGCCGCGGGGCCTCGGCGGCCGCGTGCGTTGCACCCTAGGCCCGCAGCGCTGCAGACGTCCAGCTCGCGTCGCACGAGAGTCTGCCCATGATCCGAAAGCGACACCCGGTCGTCGCGCGCTCGCTGCGGGCGGACAGCATGCGCCCAGCGTGCGGGCCGCGGCAGAGGCAGCGGATGCGCTCCGGGCCGATGGTTTCCATCCCCCCGCGTGCGCCCTGATCCGCACAGCCAAAGTAGAGACTTTGGCGATTACACCCGTCAATAGCAGCGTGCTGCTGGAATGGTGTTACATGCCGGGGTCTATTTGCTGACGTTGATCCTGCTTCTCGCGCGATACTCCTTTCCCAAGCAGCAACCATGCTGGGTGCTTCTTCATTGTCCTCCCCACCACACCCGGTCCAACATCCCAAACTCTCACTTGCGGGTTGCGGCCCTGCGCCGCCTTCGCGCGCTTCTCCCCTGCAGTGAGCGGGTGTGCTCATGTCGGGGCGCGTTGGACGCACTTGGGGCGTGTTAGGGTCCCAGCGTGCCTGCTGCCGTGTGCCAGAAGTGGCGTCCTTGATATCACCAGACAAAAGCGCAGCATGGCGCCCAAATTCCAATTCAACAACACGACCGGCAATTGTTTTGTTTGCGGGTTTTTTGCCGCGAATGAGGGAGATTCATATTGTTGAACACCTCCCCCATTCATGAATGTGGGGACCCTTGGTTGGCAAATGAGCCTGTCTTTGGATTTCTGAATGTGGCGCTCACAACTCCTCAGCCAGCAATGGTGGTGTTCCGCAAGCATAGTGTTTCTTCGGAGTGGAATTTGCACGAGAAGGGTGCGCGTTTGTCGCGCACTTTGCTGATTTGTTGATGAGGTCCCTCGTGTGTTTGCAACAAAATGCAAACATACAATGCAAACATACAGGCTTTGACTCACCCGCGAGGCACGGATATAAGTTGGCGAATCAACACAATCCGCAGCCGCCTTTTGGTTGAGACCAGCATTCTTGAGGCCGGTGGTAACATGCTTCGTGCTGTGTGGTCCTGCGCTATTTTCAATGTAAGCTATGCGTTGGAGATGCGCCCCCATCACAATGGAGTGTTGGAGGAGCAGTGGGCACGCTGCAAAAAAGGAGGCCTTGCTTTTGAGGCAGCAACTTACTTCAAGACTGAAAAAGACTTGAATGAGAAACTTCAGCAATATTTCCCTTTCACACATATGTCTTCACCTGCAGCGCAGTTGCAAAGCAGAAGGGCCAAGTTGGTGCAACATGGCATTTTGTTGCAGATGAAATACCACGGCAAAAAACGCGTGAGTCATTTGCACACATATACAAGATCAAAGTCGTACACGTGCTGGCTATTTTGGACCTGTTCCAGAGACAAAACAGAACATAGCCATTGCACCGGAGCGGTGGTCGCAACATTCCAAGTTAGCTTGCATCTCCATTTTCAGCAGCTTCCCCTTCATGGCACATGGACCACTGACACCATCCATTCCTACTTGCAGCGTGACTCACATTTCAACACCGATTGCTATGAGCACCTCGAAGGCAGCAAGCGGGAAACGGCGTCAGAGATGGCGAAGGACGTGCAGCTCAACTTGCAAGCTCAATGGAGGCAAGAACATGTCATGACAGGAGGACTGATGGCTGTGAGGCCAACGGCAGCCGGAGGTGAGGAAACATCGATGTTGCTGAAATTCTCCAAGCCGGAAGTATCTCCGGGTATCGGAGTGGGTGGCTTTGTTCATGGCTGCTTTCCAGGTTCTAAGCCCCGGGCTACTGCAAAGGCTTCGAGCCCTTGCCGCCTGGAGACATCGCGCTGGACCACCGGGCTGAGGAATGCGCCCTTTGGGCTTGGGCATGGCGATGTGCTGCGTTTTTCCTTCAGAGGCCGGGTGTCCTTCACGCTCAGCGGGCAGGAAAGCTACGAGCTTCAGATCGAGGAGCGCTACAACTATGTTCCTTCGGCTGTGGCAGCATGTATTCCGCCAGGAGTACCATTTCTTCGAAAAGCAACCTATACATCTTTGGTGGGAATTGGTGATCAGTTGCATTGGAAACAATGCAAAGATTGCAGTAGCGGAGAGCCGTTCTGGTTGTCTGTGAACGGCTCTCAGTTGTTCTTGGGTGCAGGGAGCCAGGTCGGCAAGAACCTTCTTCGGAAGGTGAGGTTGGAGAATCGCCGTGTCGATGTGCATCCTTCACATGACGAGGTGCATTGGACGCTCACAAGCAAAGTGTGCAGACAAGGTTTGCCCACGGGCTCCAAACATGGAATGGGAGTTGTTCGCATCTCCACCGCTTTGCTGGAGGCCATGCTTTCTGAAAGGTCCACGGTGCTGACAAACTTCTTGGCGCAGTCAAGTAATGTGGTTGCCGACGCGCAGCTGAGTTATTCCTCGCACTTGCGTGGTGCGTCGTTGGCTGTGGTGGGGGATGGCAGCCGCTCCCTGCAGTTGTCAATGGCGTCGGGCTCGCTGAACGCGTCCTGTTCCAGCCATAGCTCAACGCAACCTCGCGTTCTCTTTGCCGGGAGCTTGAGGGGCATCAAGGCGCACAATGTGACAAGCTTGGCGTGGCGGCAACATGGGGCTCTTCACATCGCTCCGGCTCTTCCACCAGACGGCGGTGGATTGAAAATAGAGAGTGTCAGCGTTGAGAGGCCGGGCGTGCCGATTTCACAGCGGGCATTGCAAACATACACCACGGAATTGTTTACAAAGTTCCTGCCCGACATCAATGAGGACAGGGCTGCATTTCATTTTGGTTGACGTGTCTTCTGGCGGGCTGTTTGTTTAATGCATTGTTTTCTGCTCGATGGTTTTCGTGCGATTGCGCCTTCAAGCTGAGCATAGCACAGCAGGAGTTGGGGAAGTTCGCTTTCGTCCTGCCGCGCTCCTTGGCCCAGTTCGTCAGATGCAAATCGGCCGAACAGAGCGGCCAGCCAGTTTGTGGCAATTTCGCCTTGCGGCAGCTGAAGGGCATGCAGGGCTACCTCGAGTTCACGGATTTCGAGAGCGACCCAGTGATGCTTGCCTCACGGAAAGATCCCTTCACTGGGAGCTTCAAGGTGGCGCTGCTGGGCCTTGCGATTCTGGCTTGGCACTTGCTGGCAGAAGGCTTCGGAAAGGCGTGGCTCCTCTCGTTCATGTCGTTTGCACTGCTGCTCCTGCTTTTTGCAGCCTGGGGCCCAGGGGGCCCAGGCATGTGGAGCTGGCATGGCCCCTTCGCAGACTTCAGCGTGGCAAACTTTCAGCATTTTGGCCTGCAACGCCCCGAAAGCGTGGTCAGCAAGTTGCAGGACTGGGCTGACTTTGCAACGCGCGTCACGCAACTCGAAGTTGTAGCCGTGCCTCTCGTGATTTTGTGCACCCGATATTGGGGCACCGTCCGGGCCTCAGTCCGTCTCTTTGTTTGCTGTCTGTCTGCCTTTCCGTCTGTTTCCGTCTGTTTCCGTCTGTTTGTGTCTGTCTGTGTCTGTCTGTTGGTCGATCGATCTGTCTGTCTCTGTTTGTCTGTCTGTCTGGCTGTCTGCATGCCGTCCCGTCCCTTTTCCATTCTGCGTCGTTCCGTCCCATCCTGTCCCGTCTCATCCTGTGCCGTGTCCTGTCCGGTCCTGTCTGTCTGTGTGTCTGTGTGTCTGTGTCTGTGCGTCTCTGTTGCGTGAGCCTCGGTCTGTTCCTGTGTGTGTGTGTGTGTGCGTGCGTGCGTGTCTGTCTGGGTCTCTCTGTGAGTGTCTTGGTGTGTCTTTGTACGTCTCTCCATGTCGCTGTGTACCTTGCGTCTTTGTGTATCTTTGCGTGTTTGTGCGTGTGTGTCTGTGCATCTCTGTGTGTCTGTGTTTCCTTCCTGACTGGCTGCCTGCCTCTAGCTGCGTGCCTCTGTGACTGCCTCTGCCTGCCCACTTTCTGCCTGCCCACTTTCTGCCTGCTTGCCCCTGCCTGTTTGTTTTGTTGCGCCTTGTCTGTCCACATGTCCGTCTTGTTCCGTCTCGTCCCGTCTTGCCCTGTCCTGTCTCGTCCCGTCTCGTCTTGTGTAAGTTTAATGTTGCCTGATGGTCAGCATGGTCAGCTAAGCAAATGGATGGCAATACGTATATAGGCCTCTGAGATAGCAAGGCTGATAGGCGGGTCATTGGCTTGCAAGCAAGTGAACAAGTTAACAGGCGAGACTGCGAAAACATGTGGGAATTGCTCATTGTGAATTCTCCCTGTGATTTGTATAGATTGAAGCCAGGGTGTTGAACATGTAGTGCATGACTGGGCCATTCTGGTTCGAAGGGCCCTTGAGTCATAGCGGGTGAAAGGAAAATCGAGAGCCCGATTTGCTTGCTACATTCACATTGGTAGCGGAGCGTTGGTTGAACGACTCCCGGCAAATCAGGGCGGTAGGTCATGTCAGTGGCCGGGCTTCGTTTCAGTCCAGACCACGGCGTTCGTGCAACAGACCCTGCTGAAACTCGGAGTGGTTCGTACATCTATGGTGGAGACCCCGCAGGTTTCCATGATTGGGTATTTCGCACCATGCTTCACCTGAGGATGTATGAGGAGTTTCTGAGGGCCAAGAAGACAGCCAAACGGACTGTGAAAGAAGGAGAAGAAGGCGAGGAAGGTTCTGCAGGGGACACGAGGTCGGAGCTCACTCACCGGATTGTTGAAGGAGTCCGGGATGCATTCTTGGTGGCCCATGATCTCGGACTTGATGCCTTGAGTGAACCACAAGGTATCGAGAAGCTGATCAAGCAAATGAGGGACATGGTTTTCCAAGAGCCACTGAGGAAGCCCGTGAGCTGTTTCGTGTTGGTCATGGATCCAACGCTGTCATTGTCTGAGCAAATGCGTTCAGAATTGATGCTTGAATTGGCAAACATCTCGCATCAAGAGACCCTTGTGATCAGAGCCTGTTCGGAAGGCGGCAGAGAACTGGGCAAGGTTGAAGAGGCCCTGATCAGGAATTCTGGCGGAGTACACCTTCGAGAAGGGCGTGTGCTGGGCCTATCTTCAACAGGAAAAGGAGGCTATCAGGCAAAAGGAAAAGGGAAGTCTTCTTTTCACAGTTCTTCATCTTCGTCGGGTAGTGGTTACTGGCGAAGGTCCGCACTTCCTGCTTGGTCAGTGTATCCTGAATGGGAAGAAGGAGAGCCCATGAATCCGCATGAAGAAGTAGAATGTGAGGAGAGTTACGGGTATACAGCGGACGGTGGTGTCGACAGAACACCGATGACTGATCCGGAGGAGGTGCCCGATTCTGGAGCATTGGAAGAAATTGGTGATGAGGGCAAGGCCACCGCTCTCAATGCCATGGAAGAGTTGGATGGAGAGAGCAGTGATCCGCTCAGTGTCGGAGAAGCCATTCAGCTGCAGCTGGCAGCGAATGCTGCCTTTGGCAAGGCCAAAGGAAAAGGGGGAAAAGGACCAAAAGGAAAAGACAAAGGAAAGCTGGTTCGGTCACCTGACACTGGAAACTGCAGGAGCTGAAGAAGAGAAGCAAGTGCCTCAGATGTGGAGGGGCTGGTGACCCTGATTGCAACTTTCCAGGTCCAAAAAGGAGAGGGGGACAGGCCTGCTGGATCAGCTTTTGTGGCATATGACAGTGACACTTTGAGTGATCACGAGATTTTCTTGCAGGCAGGCCAGGTACATGAAGGCACAGCTGTGGTAGTATCCAATTCCAGGTCATCTAGATCAGGCAAGCGTTACACAAAGGCAAATGCGTCGGATTCTGTGCCCGTTCCACGGAGCCCGCCTAGATCGTCTGACCCTGTGCCCATACCCATGAACACACCTTCCGAGGATCAAGATGCGGCCACAAGGCACGGCAGGGCTCGCATCGTGGCTCATGAAGATGAGATGGATATGAGGACCTGGGCGGTGAGCAGAGGATGCTTCTTTGTCACAAAAGAAGCCATCACAAGTCTCGCAATCTTTCCTCAGCTGGGTTATGAAGCATTACGTTGTTGAGGGAAGTACCTTGACGAAGAGATGACTTCTAGCCGTCCCCCCGGGTACTTACAATCCTATGGAGAAGCCATCTTCGTCGCAAATCTGCTAAGAATCTCCGAGCCGCAATGCTAACACATCCTCAGGGCAGGTTCTGAGGGTCACCCTGTTACTTCCCCTTGTTTAAGGTCTCAAACCTTTTGGGGAGAGTGTGTTTTGTGTGCAGCCGACATGTACATGCGAATGCATTTGGCTCAAGTCCACTAGCTCAAGTGAGGAGCGCCCGGCAGAGGAACACTTCGGAAAGGAAGAGGGCCGCTTCGAAGATGAGCTTTTTGAAGAGAGCCGCTTCGAAGATGAGCTTTTTGAAGAGGGGGGCTGCTGCCGGGAGGAAGAGGAGCCGATGGTCGAGGATCCCATCGACGATCAGCCCAAAGACGTGGAGAAGGAGTTTGCAGTGCAGAAGGAGCTTGCTCCTGGAAGCGGGAGCGCGAGCGCAGCGGCAAAGGCAGGCCCAGGACCGTCTTCAGCCATGAGAAGGACGCTCGCCGTGGTGCCCGCAGATCTTGAGGCCGCTCGCGCTCCAAGGGGGGCAAGTCTGCAGCTGGCAAGCGTGCTGGCAGATCGATCCGCAGAGGGCAAGCCTGCCGGCAAAGATGGCAAGGGTGGCAAACGTGGCAAGCCTGGCAAGGCTGGCGAGCGTGGCAAGGGTGGCATGGTGCGCCTTCCGCTCAGGCCGCAGCGTGCAGGGCAACGGCAGGTATGTGTCTGGTGGCTGGGAGTCTGCAGATGGGCAGTTCTTTCCGACACTTGGCCGGTTTCTCGTGTAGATTTCTCTCTCCCCCTTTTTTCACGTGTGAGCGAGCTCATGGCCCTGCTGATTTAAAGCGAGCTTGTGTGTACAAGCCCTGCTGCGTCGTTGTTGCGGTGTTTTTTGAATTGTCGCGTGTTGCGTCCGTATCATTCATATCGTGAAGGCTGCAACCCATGCGTGGCTTTGCTCTGCAACCCAGGTTTGGCTATGGGAGAGCCCGAGCTTGCGGCGGTGCCGGCGGAGTGGAAGCTGCTCGATGGCAGGACCTGGCAGCTGTGGCCAAGGCTGCCATGGAGGAGCGATGCCGCAATTAGGCAAATTGCATCACGCATGCACCATGCGCTATATCAGAGCACGCCGAGCCTGACAATGGTTCTCACGCAAAGGCAAAATGGTGAGTTGTATATACATGCAGCGGCCTGGCACGGAGTTGCGTGTGGAATGGTTTGGATGCCGCTACAGTTTTTGCTGCAAGACGCAGCTGCCACCACGTGACTGATCGCAGTGAGACACACAGCATTGCGCAGCATCCGCATGACACTTGCAAAGTGAAACATGGATTGCATGCATGACAATTGATGCTGAGATTGTGTGCGCTAGCTGACGCCGACAGGACCTGTTCGGAGAATCCCAAAACCCAATGCAAGAGAGTTTGCCAAACATATGTCGTTCAACAAATCCTGGTATGCCACTCATGCAAATTTGTTTTTCAACAAAGAAATGTGTGGTTGGTTTGTCGAACAACAAATCCCGAGACATGGTCATGTTGGAGATTTGTTGAACGACAAATTCATGGCCATTTGGACAAATCAGTGCTTGAGAAATCAATGTGCAAAACTACAGATTGTGTGGAGGCAGGTCCTGACTGGAACTTGTTTAACCCGTACTGGAAGTCGCACGAGCCCGTCCCTGGACGTTAAAACAATGCGTTGTGGAGCGAGCTGAAGAGAATGCGTTTGAGGGAGGGTTTCCCACACACACACACCTGTAATTGGTTCAACTAAGGGTTGCTTGAACCAATTAATGGGTGGAAATGAGTTTGAGGCAAGTGACAAGGAGTTAAAGGGCAGGCTGCCGTTCTTGGGCGAAAAACGGAAAATTTGCTGAAGAACGAAGTCTTCGGGAAGTCGGGAAGTTGGCCGTTTTGGGTCAAAAGGGAGCGGTGACGTAGCGGTGACAAACGGTGACAAGCTTGGCGGGATGGATCTTGGCAGCTTGTGCTGGATGTGTTTGAGCTGTGTTTTCAGTGAAGCGAGCCACGTACAGGCGAGCTTCTGAAAAGCCCTGCCTTTTGTAGCGAGCTGTTGCAGCCCTGCTTGAGTTTGGCGTCTCGCATTGTTGGTAATCGTCTGCAATCGAATTTGGAGTGTCCAATCAATTGCTACAGTCGGCCATTGGCCCGACATCACGTTCTGGAAAGGGTTCACGTGCTTGACATGAACCAATGCAGGGCGGTTTGAGCGCTCGCTGTGTGCATTCTGAAGCAGAGCCTTGCCACTGAGGCTTGCTCAGTGACCCTTCACCTTTGTAAATCGGTGTGCCGCCATGCAGAGCTGGCAGTTTAAGACCGACCTGTCAGAGGACGAGGCCAACTGGGAGAGCCAGACGCTGTCCGACTGGCTGCTGCTTGGGCACACAGCCTTGCGGCGGTGCAGCCAAACCGTTGTGGCGGAGAAGTTCTACCTCACCACGTCCCCCTGCGGCATTCAAGTGGCAGGTGATGAGCGTGGACGACAGTGGCGTCATCCTGAAGCGCCCCAGCAAGACCGGCAAGGAGACCTTCATGATGACCGTGCCGGTGCAGAAGATGAGCATGAGGCTGTCTTGCCAGGAGACCAATGCGGGCATCCATGTCTCCGCAGTCGGCCTTGCCATCACCGTCTTGACTCTGCTGGCGCGCATTCTGAGTGACATGACGGGAAAGCCTGAGTGGTGGACCGACCAGGACGAGATCATCTGCTTGGATTCTAATTGTGTGCAGACACGTTCAAGCACGACAATTGAGCAGTTGGCAAGGGCCAAAGAGCCGGCCATGAAAAGGCTTACACAAGCGCCGCCAAAGGTTGCGCAGTCCGTTCTGAAGCGCCTGGCTGGCAGTCGCTAGGCTCACGTGGATACATAGAGGTTCCAAATGTTGTGAGTGTCATTCCTGACAACCCATTGACTCATTGGCAGCAAGGTCAGGCGTCGGCCGCTGGGGCAGTTGAGACAAGAGCTGCCATGTTTTTTTGATAGCGCAAGGAAAAGCGTGCCACACGCACATCGTGCTTCAGTTTGTTCATGACACGCTTAACGTGAGTTGATGCAGTCTTAGCGTTGTGCCCGAAGTCTGGCGCCTGACCTGGTCAGAAAGATGCTGGACGCGGAGCTCCATCGGCTTGTCGTTGCTTGCTTCTATAGAATAGGGCTGAGCGTCGCCTGCCGCACAAGTGTGCTTGCGCAGAGCAATTCAGCTCAGGCTCAGGCATTGGCGTTTGGGGGCAACTGTCCAACTCATGGATGTGGACGAGGCTGTTAAGGGCCAAAGATGTGGCAACTCAGCAAGCCAAAGCAGGCGACAGCGGATCGCCCGCATGAACTTGTCCAAAGTTCAAGATGCGGGGCGTCTTCTCGAAGAGGTCTCTGCTGGCAGTTGGCCAGAGGATATGAAACAAGAGCTGTCACAAAGCGGGGCGGTGAAGGGTCCAAGGAGCCTCTGCCCATGAGGCAGCGCCAGAACATGAAAAAAATTGGCGCCTACATGACCAGTTCGGAGTTAACTGGCACAAGACCTTGATAATAGAATCGAGGCAAACATGTTGACCGACCCGGAAACCCTCAAGATGGTCACATCTTCTTTTGACCCCAGGAAGGGAGCCGTGCAGGCAGCTACTGGTTCGATCGATGGCATACCCACTTTTCCGCACACGAAGGTGCCGAATATGCCTCCCAACCTTTGGTGGCAAGGACCATCATCAAAGGAAGGTCTTCATGAACACGAAGGGCATGACCCGGTCATCGTGGCAAAAGTTCCGAAACTCATGCGGTACCAGCCACCACCTACGGTGCAATGTCCTATTGGCACACGATGGTTGCGTTCCACTTGGTTTCTGCGCGGAGGAACATGGGAGAAGGTTGAGGATCGCGTCGAACCCGCGTTGCAATGGGAGCGCATCGACCAATACGTCGAGCGTGCAGTATGGCAGTTTCACCCGATACAGCCTGCGGCCCCAGCACGCAAGGTTATTCAGCCGAGACAACATTTTGGACAGGACGAGTCTTGTCAACTGTTCATTCAGGAAGTCGATGGTAAGGACATCCTCGACGCAGTTATCAACCCCCTCCCTGCATGCATTTTACGGTGTTTCAAAACTATGATGCGTCGGATGCACGCACATCACCGTGAGCAAGACAATCATCGTTTCTTTGTCCCCTACAGAATTGCGGCTCGCAACCATTTGCGACCTGCTGATCCCAACGCACCCATGCAAACATTACATTTCGCTTTGTCAATCACAATGGCACGGTCCTTGGCTTGCCTGGCTACGCATATGTACCCGGATTGGCTACTGGCACAGAGGTCACCCTTGTCGCACTGGACCCCAACCAACCGATGGTTGTCATGGCGTGTTCGGAATCGCACAACTGGTTTACCGCGCTTGCGCAACGCTGGCACGTACAGGTTGTTACGATCACACTTCAGGATGACCTGCTATCCCAGTACGGGGAGACCCTCGCCAAGCACGCCATTACCAAATCGAACGACATGTTATTTTGCTGGACCCTGCACGGGAGGATCATCATGGGCGAGATTGAACATAACACGAGGACCAACAACAAGCAAACTCATCCAAGACAAACAGCTTGAATTTTGGAAGTTGTTCAAGGTGGTTTCCCAATTGAAGCGGCGTGCCGAATCCAAGAAAGCCGCGATACTCTTTGAACTTCCCAAAGGCTGCGAATATTGGAGCGACGAGAGGTTGAAGAAGCAGATCAAGAACGGAGATTCACATGAATTTGACGGGTGTAGGTACGGCTTGAAGCAAAGGTACGCCAAGAAACCTCTGCCGATTCCGAAACCCTGGCGTGTCATTTCTTGGAACTTTGACCTGGGGGAATCCCTTTCTAAGAAGTGCAATGACAACCACTGTCATGGACCTTGTGCTGGTAGGGAAACTGAGGATACCCAATTGTACACTTCACTAATTGTCAATGTCATCCTGCGCCGTTTCGCTGCTCGAGCCAAATGTTCGCGACATCATGGAGTGAACCTGGCTTTCACCTTGCATACTCAAAGGGTTTGTTGGCAAGAAGGAGCTGCAGGGTGGGAGATCTTCTACCTCCACATCGCCGTCTACTCTTCGTACAAGCAGTAACTACATTTCTGCATCACAACGAGGAGAACGAGGTGAGTGTTGGTCGCTCATCGCTCTTGGATTAGCTGTTGAAAGGTGTTGGGCCCCTGGGCTTTCTGCTGGCGCTTTTCTGTGCGGTTCTGGGCTGGCTTTTGTTGATTTGGGTGGAGACCGGGAGCAAGCGGCGATGCTTGGACGTGGCACGATGCCGCCTGCGCTCGCGATTGAGCTGGCTGTGCAGGCTCAGGCAAGGCACTAATGACGAATTGATCGTGGCGCTGCTGCAATCCTGGGGGCCTGTCGAGAGCCGCGCCGTGACAAACTTCAGCCAGATGTGCTATGGCGTAGTGCCCACTGACTTGCGCTGCCTGTCAGAGGTGCGCCAGTCCTGGGCCGGCGTCGAGGGTTGGGCAAGTGCAGATGTTGGCCGGGGGCGGTTTCGGCCTGTCACGAGCGTCCCCCGTGCCCGTCTCGCTCGCGGTTTCCGCTTGTCACGAGCGTCCACCGCGCCAGTCTCGCTCGCGGGCGGTTTCCGTACGTCACGAGCGTCCACGGGATGCCGAGCGCATGGGGTATCATGAGGACAGACACGACGAAGAGCTGGGGCTTGCAGCAGTTTCGGAAGTATGTCGGTGTGGCGGTCGACCATCCTTCCGTCTTCGATGATCCTTTCTTGGCCTACGATTGGCACACGTCAGTGGCTGACTTGTTGCAGGGGCTTTCCCTTTGTTGCTTCTGGGCATCGGTGTGCTTCCTGAAGCATCGGGCTGCGAGCCGCTGCTGTGCCTTTGCCGGGGGTGCCCTGGGAGTTTCCTCGGTAGTCAGCGTGCTCGTGCCCAATTATGCCGCCCTGAGCAACGTGCCCACGTATTTCACCGGCTGCGCCAAGCAGTTCGATGCTACAGCGACCATCGTCTCCACAAGCGTCATGGGCATGTTGTGCGCATCAATGCTTGGCCTTGAGGTATTTGGGTTCCTGGTTAGCATCCCCATCTCTGTCTTGCGAGGGGTGTGGCTTCTGCTGATCAGGAAAGATGTGAGGAATGTTGTGACCCAGCGGGTGCTACGTGGCTTGATGTGGCTGCTAGCCTTTCTAATCCCTTTCGTGACCGTGTTTCCCTTGGCGTTTTTCAACCAGCTCACGGAGGACGTGCCATCTCAACAAATCTTGACTTCATTCTGGCTTCTGCCATCCTTCTTCATTGTGCTTTGCAACGACGAGGCGCATGAGACTTGGTTTTACTTCCTGTGGCTTTGCATCTACATTTCCCTGCTTGGCAGCTTTATTGTAAACGCTTCGCGTTGCCCGCCTCGGCCCAGCCTAGTTTGAGGGAAGGGCCTGGGGCCGTCTCAGACACGTTAGACAAACCTGACCTTGGCACGCTGGGCTGAGCCTGCTGGTGGGCTGGGAGCTGGGGCATGCCCTGAGATGCGCCGGGGCCTGAGGCTTTGGGCTGGGCCTGAAGCTAGTCTCAGCCACGAGGCTGCGAAGCCATGGCTGGGTTGCTGGCTGCCGGGCAGCCGGACTACGCTGCTGGTTGCGCCTGGAACTTGGGCTGGGCGGGCTGGGCTGAGCTGTGCTTGGGCGGGTTGCTGGATGGGCAAGGCCTGTTTCATGACGGACAAAAAAGCATTTTTTTGTGTTTTCGCATTGTCAGCACATTTTTGCCCATGGGGCTGGACGCCGACGAACCCCGAAAATTTCAAGGCCCGCCGGACAGGATTTTGGGCCAGCCGACATGGGGGCGGGGTTGGGGAGGGGAAAAGCGAAGATTCTCTTTGGAGAAGAGATCTGAGCGCCCTTGGCCCCTTTGGGGCCGAGGCGAATTTGGCAGCAGCAAGCGCGATTGAACATCGACCTTGGGCAAGCTCTCAGGCTGTTGGATCTCCCTTGGCTGTGGTCCATCCTGCATGCGGATTTTTGCTTGTCCAATGTCCTCATCACCGACCTCATCCTCCTCGTTCTGGACGACCTGGCGTCTCCCTGCTGCCCAGTGACGCCGACGCCGGCTGAGGCCCTGAAACCTTGTTGACAATCCAACATGCGCCCCAGCCGGCCACGTCGCATGAACTCGCTGGAAGAGACGCGTTGTGAGGTTGAGCGAGCCTGTGGGTCTTAGAACTCTTAGGGTTTAGGCGGTTAAAAGAGGGGAAACTCTTCCAGGGCGAGCTGGCGGGCCTGGCGCGTGCGCCTGGCGGGCCTGGAGTCGGTGCGGCTGGTGGAGGGGACTCCGGTGCTGGTCTTTGACTCCGAGGAAAGCGCGCAGGCGGGGCTGGCACGGCTCACGGCTCCAGTGATTCAACTGGGCGAGCTTTCCTGCTTTAAGATGTGGCAATTGAGAGGGTTGCGCGGCCAGAGCGGCCGTGCCCGTCAGGCAGCAGCGCAGGGCCTTCCTGAGGGTGTGCTAGCTCGGGTCGAAATGCACCGCGTAGAGGTAGGATAGCTGGTTCTTTAGAGGTCGCAGGAAGCCGCATGAAACGGCATGCATCGAATTCAGCTTGCGGGGTTCGGGGCGGCCATGGTATGGCCGGGCCGTGGACCGACAGAAGTCGGAATCGGTGCATGCCATGTGGTGCCTGCCTGTGGAGGGCGGCAGCCGCAATTAAGTGACGTGGGCAAGGCTCTGGCTGCTTTGTTGGGGTCGGAGCTGCAGTCTATGAGTCTATGTGTGTCATATTTAGGGCTTGGCTAATTTTGAGGCACCCCCGTGCGCCAGAATATTCTCAGAGCCTTTCCAAGACCTTCTAAGCAGGTTTGAACGAACATTGGGTTGTGGGGGGCTCCCTTGATGTTAATGCACAGGCACTTCAGGAAGGTCATTCTATTTCAACCCAAAACCCAAGCAAAGCTTCAAAGACACGGCCGCGTCTTTCCGATGAAAAAGCCCACCTGTGGCAGAATCAAGCCTCTGCTCGGACGGCCTTCTTCGCGCTCGGCGCTTCTTCGCGCGGCCTGGAAAATAAGAAGAGAGCACAGAAACACAGACTCACATACAAGTTCATCCGGTAAATCCCTCCGCTCCTTGGCCCTTGCCACCTGTCGTAACGCTCCTAGCGACTTTGTGTTGAGTTTTGGGGTTTACGTGACGCCTCGGGTGTTTGCCAGGGCTCGGCGCGGGGCATTGCTGCTCGAAGGCAAGCAGCACAGCATACCCGTTTGTGTTTGTTAAATCCTACTACTCATGGCTGGTCGCTCTGGTGCATCCGGAGCCCGCCAGAAGCTGGCTTGGGCGCCTCGGGAGAAGACAACGTGCTGTTGTGTGTGCAAAACTAGGTCGCAGATGTTCATGTCATTTTGGCTGATTGGTTTTGTGAATGGGTTACTGTAGCGGCTGATGCCGCACCATGCAAGCGTGTTGTTTTCGAGGTGGCCGGTGTCTCGTTCTTTTCCTTCCCGTTGGCAAGTTGAGGCCTTCATCTTTCTGTTGGCAGCGCGGGAGGTGTCTGCAGCACGGGAGATGCACCGCTCAGCCGAGCTCCACTCTCTCCAGGATGGACCTCCTGAGTGGGGAAGGGGCTATCGGTGCTTTAATCCGAGGTTCTCCTATCGCATAGGTTTGCTGCAGGAGTTGTTTATTTCACTGATGGGTTTTCCTTTGCTTCCCCCGTAAAATCATGGAACCCCCATAAAACAGGAACGAGGCCACGGGGAGAGACTCCGGATGGCGGCGCGGTCTGCGCGCAGGCCACCGTCCTGGGCCGCGCCGGGGAGGATTTCCAGCGCGCCGAGGCGGTGCGCGAGGACATGTCCTTCACCATCCAGACCAAGTGGGCCAAAGGGAAGGCGCTGCTCGGATGGCTTCGAGCGTCGGGGGAGAAGAAGTGGGGAGGGGTGTGTGGGGCGGCTGGTGGGGCGGGGGTTGAACGAATGTTTTGGTTTCCTCATTGCCGTGTCCAGCCACCTAAAGAAGGTTGTCTCATCATTGTCATTAAAAAGCCCTTGTTCCATGGCCCTCTCTTTGCTGTTTTTCTCCCTCTTTCTCCTTCTTTCTCCCTTCTTTTTCTCTCTTTCATTCTTTCGTTTTTGTCTCTTCTTGTTCATTTCTCTCTTTCCCTACTCCTGTCTTTCTCTCATTCCCTCTTTCGCTCTTCTTATCTTGTCTCTCCTACTTCATCATTCTGTCACTTTCTCTCATTCTCCCTCTCTCTCTCTACATTGAAGAGTACTGCAATTGTCAATACATCTGGTAGGGCTGCTCCGTTGTCAGTTGAGGTTGTATTCCCATTCTAGAAACTGTTCTCCAAACTGTTCGCCGAGTGAAGGTTCAGCAAGGCTTGTACCAACTGGAAGGCTGAATCTGTTGGTTGTGGGATCCGTCTTGCCGAGCTGTAGCTCCTGGGGCCTTGGCAAATGCAGATGAACATGTAGTGCAAGACGCATGCTATGTTAACTCGTTTGTTGCCTCTTGCTGTGTTTGGTAGTACTGCATCAAGGTGCCGTGCTTGTGTCAAACTCGTCGATGAGTCGCAAGTAGGCTTGTAGCTTGAATCGTTGAATCGCAATTCATCGTAGTTGCAGTACTCGCAAATCATTGAAGTAAGGCGGTGGTGGTTTGTGCCTGTGTAATTTGGTACATTGCTTTCTGGTTGTGCTCCTGTTGCTGTTGGACTGTTGTTCCTCTTTCTTGTGTAGCGGGAGTTCCTCTGGGCTGCTTCCGTTGTCTTGCTGTAGTTTCTGGTGGTATGCTGCTGATGCAGTTGGTTTGTCTCCTGCTGACATGTCGTAGTAGTTGGGCATGCTGGGGTGCTACTGTAGTTGCCGGTAACGCGTTAAATTGAAAGTGCAAATTGTAGTGTTGCTTCATTAACACTCGGCGCAGCACAAGTGAGCAAACTGCACATGCTGTATTTTGATCTTCTTTTTTTTGTCTTTCACTCTTTGTTTCTTTCATTTCTTGTTTGTCTTTCTCTCTTTCACTTTTCCTTCTTTCTCTCTTTTTCTCTTTCTCTGTCACTTTTCCTTCTTTCTTTCTTTCTTTTCTCTTTCTCTTTCACTTTTCCTCTTTCTATCTTTGTATTTCTCTCATTGTCTCCATCTCTATTTCTTTTTTAGATATTCTTCTTCTTCTTCTTCTTCTTTGCTTTTTGTTTTCAGTGTTTCCCCCCCCCCCCCCCGTTTTTCTCTTTTCCTCATTTCCTTCATTTCTCTTTCCTCATTTTTCTTTTTCCATTTCTTTCCCATCTTTCCCTGTGTTCGCTCTTCTTCCTTGTTTCCTTTCTTTCTCTCGTTCTTCTTTCTCTCTGAGCTGTGTTCTGCGTGCTTGCCCGTCTGCCCGCCTACCCACCTTCCCGCCAGCCCAGCCGCTCATCCGTCCGTCCATCCGTCTTTCGGGCCTAAACGGGCGGAGGAGTGGGAGTGCTCGTGGGCCAAGGTCGTCATTACACTGGTCGGATTCAACCATTACCTTCAGTTTTGTTGGCGGCGACAAATCTGCCGGCGAGACACCGCACTACGTAGAGGTGGATGGTTTGGACACAAAGTATCGGCTGATGCCAGACGGCGCGGCGGTGATGAAATACATCCACGGAATGGACACTGTCAGCATTGTCGGGTGGCAAGCCTACGAAGGCGGCAGGTGGGGCAACGCCAAGTACGCAAAGGATGAGGCCTTGTACTTCCGGGCTGACCACAACCCCGCCGTGGGCGAAACCAAGTCCAATTGGCACGGCCGCTCAGTGGGGCATGTGGTCTACCAGGGTCACGGCCAGCTCTACTTCTTCAACAGCAAAGGCGTTCAAAAGGTCATCGAGGCGGACGAGATGACCGCTTACCCCGAGCCGCGTACGCAACGCCTGGAGCTTCACATCGGCGGCAACCCCAAGGCCTTCAGCCAGCCGGACCGGGAGCTGAGCGTCCTGATCGATGCCATGTTGGGCGAGGCCTCCTGCATGGGCAAGAGCAGCAAGTGCGCCTTCCGGTGCTTCTACGACCCAGACAAGGACGTTTGCGGGCCCGCACCCTTTTGCCACAAGGCGCCCGAAGCTGAATGAGCGTTTTGTGTTTTGGCATTGTGGCATGCTTGATTGACAAGCAAAGGCAAGTAGGGCAAGTTAGCCTAACGCCAGCTTACCCCCCCCCTGTAACTCAGACCCTCCTCTTCGCTTGCGGAGTGGGCTGGCTCGACAGGTGGCGGCAGACACGAGCGCGAGCATTGTGGCGCCCTTCGGGCAGCAGCAGAAGTGCCAGGCCGCGGGCGCGGAGCAGAAGGAGGCCGCGGAAATGCAAGAGCGTTTTGACCTGTTTACACATGTCCTTTCACTAAATGGTTCTTGAAGGCAGCATGCGCACCCGGCGTAGCTTCATATGTGAGCTGATCGCTCTCGCTGTGGGGTGTTCAAGTTGCTTCCAAAAGCCGAAAGCGAATCCTTTGTGTATTGTGGGTGTGCCTTGAGTGTGGCGGAGTGCTCTTCACATATTGCGTTGCAAGTTCCTAATGTCGAACGCAACTCCTCTGCAGACTTTGGTGGACCAACGCAGTGTAAGTTTCTGACTTGTGGCGGCGGAGTGTTCTCGTCAAGCAAAGAAACACTGCACCCAGCTTTTACGGGGCGTATCCCACCAGATGAGAGCGTGCTTTTGGAGTTTGGTTGTGTAAAGGGTCTGTGGGACGCCGCAATTCTTGAGCAATAGCAGTCAGAGCGTGTGTGTTACGCCCCGTAGACTTATTGGTTCCGCCGCTCTTTAAATAGAACTCTAAAAGGAAAAGCTTACCAGACTGACCGCTCTTGTTGTTGCGTGGTGCGCGTTGTTAACCCTTGCGGACGTGGAGCGTGTTGCTGCGTGAATAAGTAGCTTCGGGTTTTAATCCTCTGCGGACGGCGGGCCGCGGTTTTATGGCCCCCCCCCCCAATGAGCAATTGCGCGTGATCTTTCAGCAAAGGATGCCATGCAGCTTGTCTAGGGTTCTTGCGCCTGTAGACGGAAGTCTACTGGGGCTCTCCCAAGGGACTTTTTGCGCTGACCCCTGACAGAAATCCAGCGAGGATATTTGCTCGCGTTTTGTGCTGGATTTTCCGATCTCGTTTAGGGTCTCCTTTAGCTTGGGGCAGTCAGCCGGCCGTCCTGCAGTTACATCTTGCAGAGGCCGCAGACTTGGCGGTGAAGACAGCCGCGGAGGATCTGAGGTCAATGGCTCTGGGCGTGGCTGAGGAGCTGAAGGCCGCTCCCGACATCAGCAAGTCCAAGGCCAGCCGCAGGACCATGAAGGAGACTTTGAAGCTGTACGAAAAGGCGCGGGCGGCTGTAGGCATATCGATCAGGCAGAATGCTATTTCCCAGTTTGAGAGGGCCTCAAGGTTTCGGCAGTTGACTTAGGCTGGCGCCATCCTCAACGTGTGGGAGGCGCTGCCCGGCCGTTTGGGCAAGGAGGCCGGGAACTTCGTTCAGGCCGAGAAGCGCCTGGCCCACACCGACATGAAGCACTGGCGCGGCCGAGCGGTGGCCCGGAAGAGAATCGAGAATGTGCTTGCTGTGTTTGCCCCTCATTATAGAAGGTTGGCTTTTGGCGTTGTTGGGTTTTGTTTCTTGGGGCAATCCGGCCCTCAAGGCAAAAACGCCCCTGCACTTTCAAAGAGACGCGTTGTGGGCAACAGATGTTGTTATCATTGGTCCCACGAGCGCCAACAAATGCGCCCGTTCTTGCAAAAATGGTGCTTGTTGGTGACTGAGGGCAGGCTTGCCCAAATGATTGGAGAGAGGCCGGCAAGGTGTGGTGTTGCCGGGCTCGAGTGCTTATTGTTAGGGGGACTCTTGTTCCTTCACCCAAACTCGCCGAGCGAGGACCGGTTGACGGTCCCGGAGTACCAGGAAGCGGCAGCGCAGCCCATTCCGGTGGTCAGAGCAACGATGGCGTTCTCCGCGGCCGCCAAGCTGCGCCCCGCCACGCTGTTGTCCTATGTGATAAGAGGAGTGTGCGTTGGGGGAGGAACCTGTCAGTAGACAAGGCAGTCGCTTGGGGTAAACTGCACATGCCGCGAAGCATGTGCCTGTTCAAACGGCTGCCGGTGCTGATTGAATCACCGGGTTACGAACTACATTCACGCTGCGCTGGCGAAGCCGCGCGCTGGCCCCACAGGCGCTCGCGCGCGAAGGCGCGCTCGCGCGCGCACGCGCGCGCACGCACGCACGCACGTGCTAACGTGCCAACGCGCCAACCCGCCCGCCCGCAAACCCACACACACAGCCAGGCGCCCACGCGCTCGCTCGCCCGCACACGTGCCTGCGCACTTGTGCGCCCAAGTACCGACGTGCTGGCACGCACGCGCGCGCGCAAGCTTGCCGGCACATGTTGGTAGATTTGCCAAGTCTGTGCGTGGGAAGCAAGGCACAGCGAGCTCCGCGCGTTCATGGAGAAGCGGCCAGCGATCATGATCGAGTTTGCGAAGTCGGAGTCCAAAGGCAAGTGCCGCTTGTCCGACCAGACGACGGCGGACAAGGCTCGAACGGGTTACAAAGCGGGATGCGATGTCAGGGACGAGTATAGACCTTTTGAAACCGTAGGGTGTGTGCCCACTTGCTCGCTAACCTCCATGCTTGCCACACCCACGGGAGTGGCAGGGGCAGTTGGGCACCTTCCTGAATTACTTCATGCTCGTGCCCGGCTTCAACACGGAGGATGTGCGTGACACGGATTTGGGCCTCCCGGAGCACTGTCAGGGGTTTCTGCAGGGCCTAGGAACTATAAATGTCAAGCGCGTGGCGGCCAGGGTGGCGGAGCCTTGGCCTCAATCGCGCGTAGGAGAGTCTTGCAGATGAAGCGCCAGTGTGCCACAAATAGCACTTCGGTCCTTTCCCTGCGAAGAGCCGTGGCTTGAGCTGAGGACGGGGAGGCGGAGCTGGAGAAGGAGCCTGACGCAGTGGCGGGGAATTCGTCATTGGTTGAGGTGGTGTCTGACGCTGCAGAAGGCGATCTGGCGGCATTTGGCAGCAGTGGGCGACTCTTACCATCTTGCTAGCCAAGGTGAGCGCTTCCGGGCAGAGGGTGGCGACGCTGCAGTTGCAGAGACTGCTGCAGCTCACCCGCATGGCTGCTCCGAGCCAGGAGGGGGATGAGTTTTGCTCACTTCTTTCATGTCTGAGGAAGTTCTCTTCATCCTGGCTTGCGTCATTGTGTGCCTCGCTTGCCTGCTCTTCGGCGGCATCTTCGGGACACTGGCCCTCGGCAGCATGCGAAACGGTGACGGCACGGCTTTCCTCGCCAGTAGCATGATCGGCGGGCTGATCCTCTTTGGCGCCCCGGCTTGGCTGTCAGTGTGGCCGGCTCTGGGGATCCGGAGGCCCAAGCTTGCCAGACGAACCCCTGAGCTTCCTTTTAGGAAACGGCGGTTGTGGATGAATCGGGTTACCTCGTGAAACCTTCGCAAAACTTTGAGGCGCCTTCGCCATGGCTTGGCCCGTGGGCGTGGCCGCCTTGGTGGGCGCGATCATTTTTGTTTGGTCATGGTCACTCCTGGAAAAGAGCGCCATGTGCCCTAGCTGGATTGGGTCGGTGCCTGCGCGTAGTTGCCAGCGGTGTGGTGTGTTGAAGTTTGCTTGGGATGGCCTGACGTGGAACCAAACCCAGCAACACCCAAGTAGAGTAGCGCAACTGAGGCCGCACCAACTTTCGGCCCTCCAGCTAGCGGCGCAACTTAGCTCGTGAGTGCGCGCCGCGCAGGGACTGGCCTGGCAACATGAGCGCAGCGAGAAATGCGATTTTGCGGTTCGGGCAGTTTAAGAATCTAGTGTGTGGGTTAGATAGAGGACTAATTAGGTAGAAAGACATATTCGATAGAACAGAGACAAAGGTAGATATATGGGTAGAAAGACAGTCAGACACACAGACAGACAGATAGCCAGAAGACCGACAAAGAAAGTGAGATTAGATAGATAAATTTGTAGAATTTAGGATTTCCGCGACCACTGGGTAAAAGTTAGCCTGGCAGCAGTTCTGGAGCCTTCAGGGCAATTGGAAGTGTTGTCTTCTCGTCTTTGACGGTTGTTGGCTGAGCGGTCGATCAGCCCTTCTGTGTTGATGACCGTGCCTGCTGCAAGAGCGTGTCCTGCGCTAGAAAGTGGAACTGGTTCACACTTCACGTGAACGACGCCACACTGAGGAAGATGTGCACGTCATTTGCAAGTTCCGTCATTGTCCAACACTTGGAGTATCGGAGCAATGCTTTTTGCCCCTAGACCTTGTGCGCCCAGGATTGCGTAGGTCGGACCCTGCTTAGGCTTTGCCATGACTTGCCATGTGGTCAGCTTCTTTCATTCCAGCCCCATGACGGATCCCTCGCACCATCTGTCTAATCTGTGTATGAAGGCGGTGATAGCAAAATCAGCGACTTGCCGACTGGCAGGAGGCTGCTCTATCATTCTTGGATTTCCTTTGTCCTTGTCTTTTCTGCCTTTTCCTTTTTATTGTTGACTGTCACACTCTTTCCCTACCCCAGTCTGCCTAGTCGTAGGGATCCGTGTTGACGCTGCGGTCGGTCGGTTCGAACACCACCTGTTTTGGTCTTCCTTTTCGTTCGCCAGCTTCCAAATTCCGCCGTGGCACGTTCCCAAGGGGTCTCTTTATCTTCGTTCCCGGCACAGCCCTCGTAGCCCACTTCAGTCTTCATCTGCAGCACTCTCCGGGTTCCATTGTCTTGATCCTCAGTCCTGCCATAGTGCTTGAGCAGGATTTTCTCAATGGCTGATGAAGACCAGGTTGTCACTCTCACCCGCAGCGTCATTTGCATCCTCCAACTGCAACGGATGGCTGCGGCTGCTGTGCTGCTCTGGTGTTTGCTTCTTGCGCTGCGGTGACGGTGACTGTGCCGCAAATACTTGCGTCAGTCGCATCATTCAATGCTGCCTTGAGTCTCCAAGGCGGCTCTCATTGCAAATTAAGATCAGGAACACGCTGTTGTTTCTCCGGAAGATACACCTTTGAATTTCCCATCAGGAAACTTTACAGCCTCCGGCTCAGTCCGCCGACATTGTCCTCTCCCTTTTCTCCTTCTTCCTCTCTCCCTTGTCTCCGTTGTGTGTTCTGTCGTCCCCTCTCCCTCCCTCTGCTCCCCATCCTCCCCATCCCCCCAAGCCTCTCTCTCCCCAATCTCCCTCTCTCGTATGTATGTATGCATGTATATATGTATGTAATGAATGTATGTATGTATGTATGTATCTATGTATGTATGTATGTATGTATGTATGTATGTATGTATGTATGTATGTATGTATGTATGTATGTATGTATGTATGTATGTATGTATGTATGTATGTATGTATGTAATGTAATGTAATGTAATGTAATGTAATGTAATGTAATGTAATGTAATGTAATGTAATGTAATGTAATGTAATGTAATGTAATGTATGTAATGTATGTATGTATGTATGTATGTATGTATGTATGTATGTATGTATGTATGTATGTATGTATGTATGTATGTATGTAATGTATGTATGTAATGTATGTATGTGTGTATGTATGTATGTATGTAATGTAATGTATGTATGTATGTATGTATGTATGTATGTATGTATGTATGTATGTATGTATGTATGTATGTATGTATGTATGTATGTATGTATGTATGTATGTATGTATGTATGTTTATTATGTATGTATGTATGTATGTATGTATGTATGTATGTATGGTATGTATGTATATATGTATGTATGTATGTATGTATGTATGTAATGTATGTATGTATGCATATGCATGCATGCATATGTATGTATGCATGTATGTATGTATGCATGTAATGTATGTAATGTATATATGTATGTATGTATGTATGCATGATGATGCATGTATGTATGTATGTATGTATGTATGTATGTTTGCTCCCCAGTATTTCCCGCATAAAACACGTTTTTCCTGCGTTTCGCAATGAGGACGTCCAAAAACACAGAGTTTTGCAGATTTTCGGCAACAGGAGGCAGGAAGCCCAAGCCAGCAAAACAGCCGGCAGGGGGAATCGAGCCTGGGACCCCTGTTTTGCGACACTGGCTCCCCGAAGACTACGTTTAGTGGAACGTCATCAAATTGCCGCGCGGTCGGAGGGGGAGGGGGGGAAAAAATACAGAAAGGGGATTTGAAGGAACTGAAAATCATTTCTGTATTTTTTCTAACAACCAATGAAAAAACACATTGAAAAACCAAGTATCAACTAATAGATAAGGTTAATAAATCACAACCTTATTCATTCTAAGTAATTCCTAGAAAAGATGCACACCTTAGCCATTATTTTTTCACTACTTAACCTGTTTCATTTTACTATTTGATTAACCTTATTCATTTTGTATTTTAAGTCTTTTTCCAATTCTCAGAAACTCCAGTTATTCTTCATTTTTTCTTTTTACCTTATTCATTGTTCGCGAACTTTTCACTCAGACTTAAAAATATGACTAAAACACATTTCCACCTAATAGTTACACAAAACCAAACAGCCTAAGCACACAAGCAAAGTAGGAAAATTAAAATATTTCAATCTTTACAAACCATAAGTTCAGTATAATTATAACATATAAGATTTTACATGTTATTATTATAGTATGATTATAATCTCAGTACAGGATAATAATTTAATTGACAAATCTCTCTTCTTTCATACATCATTTTACAATAATATTAATATCTCTCAATGTATTCTGAACATTAAACTTTTTACTTTCAAGAAATAATTTGATATGTTCTTTAACATCTTCTCCTTTCTCTTGACTATAACACAACAACCATAATATATCATCCATCATTTCATATTTTCTTACTAATTTTAAGAAACTGTTTAACATAATCGTAAGGTGGTATTTTATTTACAGTTAGAAATATTAAAATCTCATCTTCTACATTTGTATTATGTATTCTTTTTATTCCCAACAGACATTTGATTAATTCTTGGTAATATCTCCAATTTCTACAAATTTTACATAAATCTTCTTCATCCATTGAATAATTAATAATATTATTCACTATTTCATTAGGTAAATTCAATTTATACAATTCCATATTTTCTTTTTTGAAGTGACAACAATCATAGCATTTTTTATTGATATAATTATTGATTTTATCACCGTTCATTTTCCTCTTATTATATTAAGGCACTATTTCTTTAAGTCATTTTAAGGCATTAAGAAAAAAAGAAACAAACCATACACCAAAAGCGGTGTACGCATACACCAAAAGCGGTGTACGCATACACCAAAAGCGGTGTACGCATACACCAAAAGCGGTGTATCCTAAAAAGGGGCTTTTTCCGGCAGTGGTCAGCCTCAAATTATTTAACCAAACTCACCAAAATTTCACTGATTAAACTACTAGGTATTTTATATAGGTCTTCCTGCTTATGTATTTTTGGATTGTCTCCCCATTTTTCCTTGTTTCCATTTGGCAGTCTCTGCGCAGTTTCAATATGTTTATTATTCCTGATGTTGCCACAATTCTTTTTACATAAATCTCTAGGTTTCCATGTTGTAATGTTATTCCAGAGCCTAGTGCGTTTTCTGTAAGGCATTCCATATTTACAATAATCTACATCTTTAAAATCAAACTCATCCATAAACTCCTGATTTTTTAATATTCCAGTTTGAGGATTTTCGATTACAAAATATTTAGGATTAAAATATTTGATAATTTCAATAGTTGTTAAAACTATACTATTTGCATATTCGATATTCCTAATTCCCCTAGTTTTTGCTACACTATATTCAGTGCAAGGGGGACTACTCCAAATAAAATTCAAATGGTTCCTATCAAATTGTTTATAATCCTATTTCAAAATATCAGTATTTATATCAGCTTTTTTCAATCCCAATGAAATAACATTGAAACCTATAGCTTTTGCAACAAGTCCAACACTGCCTGTTCCGCTAAACATCTCTAATAAGTTCATTATTAAAGATATTTAGATAATATTATCTATGAATAAAACCCCGTTTCCTAGTTAAAAACTATGTTTAGTTTTCAATGAAGTTGCGTTTCCTCATCATAGTCAATTTGATAAAATGTCATAGTTGAAGCCTTCGGTTCTTTAATTTCTTGGTATTAAGTTTGTTTAAGTACACTTGTTTCTTATTTTTATATTCACCATTGGTTCTATCTACTTCTTTACTTTGATAACTGTTTGTTAATGGTTTCTTCTTTTCCATTTCTTGTAAGATTTCTAAAATATTCTTATTCTGTTCTAAAACCTTATTCAGTTTTTTAACAATCTTTTCTAATCCTTCATCCATGTAAATATATACTAAATTATAAAACTAAACTTTTAAAACCAAATGTTTTAATTTCGAAGGTATTTGTTACTTAAATGTTTAAATTCTTTGCCTTGCACCATAAGTCTAACAATGTTATCTAAATCTTTTTGAGTATGTCCACATACTAACGCATTGTCTAGATATAAATATTCGTAGCTAAGACCAACACTAATTGTTAAAAAGTTGTATTTTTAGTTTGAGTACGAGTTAAGACTATTTTACAACCACACTTACAAGTATAATAACTAACGCCATTATAATTATTGTCTCCAATTTGTTTATCTAATTCAAGTGCTCCAAAATGTAAATTTGTTAAACTTGAAAATTCGACCATCTACTAAATTATAAAACTAAACTTTTAAAACTAAATGTTGCAATTATGTTAAATCTACTCTTTAAATACTAATTTTTCATCA